AGGCTTTCTCCACGGAGAATTCGGGGGATCAATCCCTTCTGTGGCTGCCCACTACTGTCGCAAATATCCCGTTTTCCCCGCTTCAAAGTACGCAGCAGAGGCGCTGAGGCCCTTGCAAAACTGCTTACCAGGGAAGTTCGCTAATTCCCATGGAACATTGAATTGATATCTAGGTAAACCGATAGAGTCCTGGGATGGTGACTACACGGTGACTACACGCGAATCTGCCAAGAAAGTTGTTAGCGATCAAAGTTGCCTAAATTCGATTCGTCGGGGTGACAAAATTGCTTTCTAGGTTAGCGCTTCTAGATTGGTGCTAAATGGCGCCTGCATCCAAGAATAGATGTCATCTTCGTGATAAAGGTAGCAGAATCCCTTGCCTAGGCTTTTGTCAAATATCATAACACCAACCTGCATCAACAGCTAACATTGACCGCTCATAATTTTTTCGGCAAGTTTGCATAGCCGTTTTGCTCTTTATACTTTTAAGCAGCATTCTAGGCTTATCAATTCACTTAGGGTCAATTCAGTTGGGAGGTTGAAGGACTTTCCTGGTTGGACCATCTCCTTTTTTACTCAACCACAACATGCTGGTGTCTGCGCTATCTCATCCGCTATGTTACTCGCTTTTCCTCTCTCTCCACGCTATTGTCTCCTTCCCCTCACAAGTTCAGTCCCAAAAACGGTGACCCCTTACTTCTGGCGCTTCGATGGGTTCTCACCCTATTTCATCGCTGTCAGGGCATTTCGTACCACTATTTTCATTTTCGTAGGCAAGAATCGGTGCTCATGTCCTTAGGGGGGGGGGGAACATTCAAAACAGGGTATTCAAGAACTGCTTGGTAGGGGACACTAAAATTAAGCCCAAGAGAGGGGAGAAACATCAGGGGGTATGAAGGTTGTGAACGTCCTCCCCCGAATCCCTTCCCCGTTAGGCTTAGTCTTAAGTTCTGTAAGTGGCTCATTCACTTCAATGTCCCACTAATGTCATGAGCGCCCATGAATCATAGCAAATTGATTGTGGGATGTACCTTCAATTCGACAAGAAAAGGAGCATCAAATTTTACAGATTTCGAATCCATAAAATATTTCTTACACAAGGCTGACTAAGCGTAAGTGTAACCGAATAAACCACCTAGATTTTAGAAGTTTTTTGTTCTCATCCATAGCGTTGCTGTGATCGCTCTGTGTGCTATCGATACATAATAATTACCACTCACCTGGCTTCCTTTTCATCACATACGACGTCAAGACGTCGTTCATTCTCCTTTTTCATCCGTTCGATTCGTGCTCGCTCTCGCACGATTTCGTCGGCGCTCAAACGAGAAACCCTGAACAGGAAAACCCGGTAAGAAAAGTTCGGATTGGAAGGCAACAGTCTCCGGCAACTGATTGATGAGGACAAAAAAGGTTACAAATAACAATTTAATTTTATTCGCTGTAGTAGGTTGCCTGAAGTTTACCGAAAGGGCATTGGTGGAGCCATGAAGTGCTCAGAATGCATAGCTATTTGTTCGGGTTCAGTCTGAGGCCCAAAAAACCTTTCACCCAGTATTCGTAAACTGTACGGTAACAGTTTATTCCTGAATTTTCGCACTCTGGGGTTTAGTTGGAGTAATAAAACTGGAGAAGATTCGCACCAGCTTTGGATTGGTAAGATATCAAGCTCTACATTTAACTTCGGGAATCTTTACTATCGCATTATATCTCTTAGCACTTTGTGGGGGGCAAGGTGTAGTGGAAGTGCACTGCTTATCAGCGCGCGGTTCCGGAGGTCAAATCCTGAAGTCGTGCCGTCGTCCGAGCCAAACCTTGCCTTCCATCTCTTCCTGTGTCGTCAGGGCACCAGATGTTGCCTGAGCTTACCCGGCGGATAATATACTGCTTGGATTGACTGTTCTAATCATTATGTAGGCCATAATTGCGTTCAAATGCATGAATACTCTAATTGAAGTAAATAGAGTGCGCAGGCGCATCCAATCGATCAAAGCAACTCCAAAGCCTATTTTAATCCTTATCAATTTTATGAAGGGAAAGTGTATGAATAAACCAAGTGACGTCACTTTCCACTCCTGCCGTATCTGATCCTGAGATCGAGTCTCGTCCATGGAACTGTGTGCCAGTAGAGCCCCAATCGGCATTGGCGCCTCAAACTCTGCATCTCTTCTGGTTCGGACGTGACCTCAGGGTTCAAGAATATGGGAAGCGTCATGAGATGCCAGAAGTTTCGGCAACATACCCGCCGTTGGCGCTCGCATGCACCCACCCCATGGTCAACTAGCGCTTTACATGGTCCGGGGTGGGCTAAATGGTACCAGTTTTGCACTGAATGATAACAGTGACCTGTACTCCAACTTCTCTCTTCTTGTAACCTCGGCATGTCAGTTGTAAGTTTAACAAATTGGTTAGACTTACAAGTGACCTGCTACAGTGCGGCCCCCGCAATTCACCGATAGCCTTCATGTAAGATTCAAATTCAGTACGAGCACTAGAGAATGCTGACCCGATATCCGAAAAAAGCGTGGCATGAAACATACGCCTATTGTTTAATTCTAGTTATCTTGCATATGAACTAATGTGGCTGGAAGTACTGCCAGTGGTGTTAAATGCTCGGTCGGATAAATATTTTTTCCGCTTTGGAATCCGAAAGGACTGTCTGCTAAAACCTTAGCTCTCCACAGCTGTAAGCATTCTCATACTCAGCGGAGGCAACATTAAATGGTGCTAACTTAGTTGGGGGGGGGGGACCACGCGGCGGCGCGGCGCTTTGCTCGCCTGGCATCTTGCGTACTTCGGGAAATCCGTGAGCCAGGGGGACTGTAGGCAGTCTAGGGGGGGGTGAGGGCAAGTCACTCGACGCAGAGTCAACCCTGCGTTGCGCAGTTCGCAACGGCACGTTGAGAGATCCTCAACGCACGCTGTATGGGCGGAGACACAGACGGCTCGAGCATGCGAGTGTGAATGTTCGCGCGAGAGAACGTGTCTAATCGGGCGAAACTGCGCAACGTGGCCGTTGAAAACTGCGCAACGCAGGGTTGACTCTGCATGCTGGAAAGCTGGAATGTTCGAGTTCACACTATCTCGCTCGAGAGAGCGCCAGGCGAGCAAAGCGCCGCGCCGCCGCGTGGTCCCCCCCCCAACTAAGTTAGCACCTATTTTATACTGATCAGTACTCCCTCGACTTTCTGACTACTCGAACTCCTCCCCACTCCCTCTCCCCTCCTTCCGGGTACCCGACAGGAGGCTTGTCGGAGGCAGAGTCACGGATGAGTCGCGAAGCGTGATGTGCGATGTAGGACGTAAAATGGAAAATCCTTAAATTGACGTGAAATTCCTTCAGTACAGGCGCCAACTGACCTGCTTCTTATCGCCGACGAGCCTCCTGTCGGGATCCTCGCCTTCCCCTACCCTTCAACCTGTAAACAATGTTATGTCACTATTCCGTTATAATTATTGCGCGTTTCGTTTTTGAAATTTTGATGGTTTATGGGAAGTTTATGAAAAGTAGGTAATTGCATAGAAAAATGAAATTTGGAGGATGTTTCCTTGTTTACGAAGCCGTGAGAGCTTATTCATTAAAAAAATTGAGCGCCACTGCAATCTCTGAGCAAAACAACGTTTTCATACCAATAATCAAGAAACACCAATGAAAAATTTGATGAAAGAAAGAGATCGTCGCTAAGACCAGTAGGTGAGATTCCTCATCCCTTTGGCAATAGAACTGAATCATGCCGAGGTCAGCTGCTCGTCCCCGTGAGCTCCATCGAGTTGGTTGATAGTTAATTGACTCTTCAGGACAAAAATCAGTTTTTGACTCCGGAAAACATGTTGAAAAATGCATAGTTCGCATGCCCATTCAAAGATGTCAAACTCTTGATAGAACGTTGAACGCGTGGCGCACTCGCAAGCGATTGTATAGCGCTCAACTTTGAATCTCTCATTTCTCGGAGTTCTTTGCGATGACGCAATCATAGTGATATTGAAAGATAAACATCAAAAAAGACGGTAGGTAAGGTTCCAGCTAACCTGAGTAAGCTTCTGGTTGATGAAGCGGCGTCGTCCGCTGATCGGCGACTCGATGACACCGAAAAATGAACCGTCTGTTCAAGAAGTTGGGTTTATTTTGAGGATAAATGAAATCTACTCGAAGAAAGAAAACGGTTGAGTTCTCATTTTGCTGCCCCTTTCTTTTCTCTCTTTTTCTCTTTTCATCATCTTTTTTATGTATTTCTTCTTCACTCACTAACCTTAGCGGCAGATGGCGCACTTTGACTTCGGCAAGAACTCGATGCTGGTGTAGATATTTGAGTAGCCTGAAAATCTTTCGTTGTGGAACTGTTCGAAAAAGTTCCTTATGAAGATATCAACCTCTAGGGAAATGAGCAGAAGGTCGTCGATGGTTCTGGCAACGTCGCCATCGTTTGCTCTGAGCACCCGTTCAATTTCAGCCTTAGAAATCGACGGAAACATCATTGAGAAGTCTCTCATCGCCTGAAACGTGAAATCTGTTAGCTTACACAATTGAAGGGTTCGGAGAGTCCATCCGGAAATGGGCTGTGGCTCAATCTACAGACGACATTTGCCACCTCCACGGTCGGAGGGGTGAATCAGGATAGAGTTGGGCGCTCCTCTATGAACATCGCGTTGAGGAAATGGCACAGGGCCCCCTCCCTTTTCCCGTGGTATTACCAGTGCGAACCCTTTTTAGTCCATGGCCTAGTGTCCTGATCC